GCTTTATGCTTCCTATATCCTTGAAAAATATTTCGGGAAAGCTTCCGAAAAAGCCCTGCAAATTTTGTTTCTAAAGGGATCTTCTTCTATACGAGAAATAATTAAGCACTCTAGATACATATTACCTGCTCATAAGGTTTATATACATATTTTATCACTTTTCAAGATCCCTGAGATCTTAACTTCCCTTATTAGACATAATGTAGTAACCATATTGAGGGAAAATGATATAAAATATTCTATGAACTTCAATTCACTTTTGTCCTTCCCCAGGTGAAATTTCATTGCCAAACTTACTTCTCTAGGTATCCTCTATACGCCAAACTAGTGTTTCATTTTTATGGGAAAGCAGCTGAAGATATTATACTAATCCTTTTTCTTGCTGGCAAAGCCTATTCATCAGAGCTACTTCAGCGCTGTTTAGTTTTGACGACAGACCGTAATCACCTGTATTATTATTCTTTAAGGCCCTAGAGAGTCAACTTCCTATATTGAAAGTCTTGTGTCTAGTCTAGAAACTTTAGTGAAAACTTGCGTTCTTAAAGCTGAGATTCCCAAGACTTTTAAAACATCTCAAGACGAGGTGAATGAGGCTGTCACCAGTATTTCCATCTCTAAATCTGAGTTAATAAATAACTTACGAGCATTCGCTGCCAGAAAGAAACTTATGGAGAATGAAGGACTCACTACAGCATCTGCGGAATTTAAAGACGTAAGCCTTTTTACATGGTTGAATAAATTACACTACAGATAACGACAGGTGATTCATGGGATCTCATGATCACACCTAACATCGATACCATAGAGGCAATATGGAGAGATAAACTAATATGTCAAATGGCTGCAGAAAAAATTGATAAAGTTTGTGGGTGTATTTTTTCTCCTTCTAAACTGTTATTATGATATATGTACTATTTCGACTATCTTATCCTCGAATTTGCTTAGGGTTTTATCTTTATATCCTCATTCTAATCGTATGTTATATTTGCCTGTAATTTTTTAAGACCGCTGGGGATATTTTGTCACGTCTTTTGTGCATTGCGACGGCAGCGGGTAGAAATACGCAAATAACATCTCATGAGTCAGGTGTTATATCAAGAACTGAAGTGAGCAAAATATTTCTTAACTTACTATCAATCGTCCAGATGCCTTTGTTAGCATACATTTCTAGTTTTTTTTACTTGGTATTAATGATGGGCATTTGTTAAGTGGACCCTGACGATAAAAAATATTACTACACTTCGTTTTAATACTTATATAACTAGTTAATTGTGAAATACTGATAGAAAATTATTTTTTACGTAAACTTTGCTATACTAACTAAGCCACGATCAAATAAATAATTTCTGCGGCTAGCCCTTAATGTGACTTTTTTATTGATTAGCATTTAATGCGTGCTGCAAAAGGCCTTACGAATTATTTTTTTCATGTGATTAGTTACTGTGTCTTTTTTTAAATACCATCGTTGAGAAGACTTAATTTCGTATGAGAATGCATGATAAATGTATTCATAGGTCAATATCACCAGAGTACTACGGACGATTCTCGTTGTGCTGCGGCCATTTGGCTCTAATACGACGTTCAGGCTGGTGAAGTCCATGGGACAGCCTCTGTTCCTTGGATCATTAAACATTAATGACCAGAGACTGGCGGATTATTTCTGGTGGGTTCGTAGCCTGATTTACACGCGTACAAACTTCTCGATATCTTAATCAGACTTGCTTACGGACTTGCTCAGTCTTGGTCAGTTGTTTTTCCCTGGGTCATTAAGCATTGATGGTCCGAGTCGGACAGTAGGCTTTACTAATCACTCTGATGTATAACCGGCATTGCTTATAGACTTTAACACTTGCAGATACATTTAAGTAAAACTACCACAACCAATTGGAAAGGGGTTTAATTAAGTTATTCTATACCATTTATGTCTCTACATTTTCGTTTTTTATTAATGAGTACATATAAGACGTAAGATAGAGCCAGACAGTCTTTCTGATCTATTCTTAACTTGGGACTTTTATAAGAATGATTTACAGCTCTGAAGAGGTACATCGTGTGATGGGCGAAAGCTCGAAACAAGGAAGAATGTCTCGTGGACGGCGTCAATTTTAATATCGTATTAAAGGTGAACAGCTGCAACAACGAGAATCGGCCGTCAACTGGTGAGATCGACCTGCGAATTTCTTCATCATGCAATTTCACACGAAATGAAAGTCTCCACAAAATTATTTAAAAAATCTATTTATGTCATGATGAACGAACGTGTGCTAATATTATTGCTAAGCACACATTCATTTCACATTTGCCGTATTTTCTGGTTCCATCTCAAAATTTTAAAATCATTTTTATCACTTTTACTTTAAGCTTATGAAAAGCTTTCGTGTTGTTCCTGAATTCTTCGAGTCGTATATGAGTATTCTCTTAGGTGACCCTGTAAGTTTTTTCTGTTATAATTCTAACTTGGCTGATTATCTTAACTTACTTAATCTTTAGTGGGTATCTAGTTTAACTTTAATTGACGTTTCTCCATTTCCTATTTAACTACTTTAAATATCATATTGTATTATCTAATATTATTGCATTCTTATATTTGCCAGATATGAGATTTGGAGGCTTAGTAGTATTGGATTGTTTCATTTAACAGATTTTCATATATACTTGC